CAGGGAGTGGACCTCTGGCTCCAACCTGACCCAGCGAGCCAGCGTGCGCCCCTCCCAGAGCTCATGGGGTGGCCCGTGCCCCTCCGGCCCAGGGCCGAGGCCTGTGGGCTGCAGCCTGGCCCGGGGAACTGAGATCCAGGAGTGGGGGCAGAGGGTGAGCTCAGCCCGTGACCCCTGCTGTGGGCTACAGCCTTGGAAGCCTCGGGCCACTGCACTGGCCACTGGGCCTGACCCTCACATGCTGCCTTCTCACCCAGACAAACGCCAGAGTCAGGACCCCCAAAAGAAACCAGCCTGCACCCCAAGAAGCGGGCATGCACTGAGGGGCCCTGGCATAGTGTTGCCCAAGCTGACGCTGAATTTGCACTGGCAGAGCCCCCGCACCCAACCTGCCCAAGGTGCCCAGGGCCGTGTGGTGGACAGGGCATCCAGCGGGGCCAAGCCATGCGCTGACCGGCTCAGTCCGCACGCCGTGACATCCGGGCCAGGACGCTGTCCCGCAGGGGCACATGCGGGAGGGGGCGCGTACCAACGCCGGGCAGCGCGGAGCCAGAACAAGCTTTTCCGACTGCTGAGCTAGGCTCCCCTGGGCCGCCCCGGGCTGGTGCCCCCGGGAGAAGCCCCAAGGTGGAAGGCGCCCCTGCCTCCAGCTCCGCTAGGGCTGAAACCTGCACACGCTCCACCCCGAGGCACAGACGTGTGCGGGCCCAAGTGGGGCCCTCCTTTGACAGACAGTGACAGTCCAGGGGTCAGGGCAGCTGGGACTGGGGATACACCAGCTTTCAGGGGCCTCGGACCCAAGGTGAGGACTGACCATGGGAGTGGGGGACACCTGGGTGGGGTAACGGGTGGAGTACATCGGGAGGACCCACGGACCTTCACGGGGCTCTGGTGGGCAGGGCTGGGCACTCAGTGCTGGAGGACAGAGCGTCGAATGGGGTCAGTCCCAAGCTGGGCAGCGGCCTGTCCAGGCTTGGGGGCAGCATGCCTGAGGGACTGTGGCTGGACAGCGGGGGAGGGACTGCAGAAGAGAGCATGGCGTGGGGTCTGGCCCAGACTGGAAGCCCCACTTCAGGTCCAAGCACTGCTGGGCCGTGACCTTGCCCGCTTCAGACTGACACTGGCACAGCGAGCAGAGGGGCCTAGGAGCCCGTGGACCCTCCCTGCTTCCAGAGGCCAGGCCCACTCAGCCAGCCTCCCAGGACCCTGCTGCCCACCAGGCGCGGCATTGCAGGCCAGCCCTGCCGTGGAGTCACCAAGGATCCCCAGCTACAGCCTCGGGCAGGAACAGCACCCCTAGGGCAAAGATTTCTCCTCTCAGAAATATCTGAGCCCTGAGCCCTTAAAAGAAACATCGAACCCCAGCATCCTGTGTTCCCTGGTGACCAGGGCCTGGGTCCCCATGTGGCTGAGCCCCCAGGAGAGCCCCTGGCCCCCAGCTTTCTCCAACCCATCCTGTTGCCCACCCAGCCTGTCTGGTGAAGGCCCCGAGGCCAACCGGGCCTGGGTGCTGGCCGTATGGACCAGGCATGGGGTGAGGTCGGCACGGGGGCCCCCAGCAGCCAGGCCCACACTGCCCCAGCACGACCCAGCCCCTCTGTGTGATGAGCAGCCTCGGGCCCATGTGCCCTGGACCCTGGGCCAACAAAGGTTCTCATGCAGATGCTGGTGCCAGGCACAGGGCAGGGACTGCTCCCCACATCCCAGCCCAGGGCACCAGCTCTTCACACGGGAGTCCCTGCCTCTGTACCCCACTTCACAGCAGCCCCCCGCCCCATAAGTTCACAGGTCTTTATGCCCTGGGTCTGGGCAAGGCCACCTGGGGTCACCTGCTATCCAGCGCACGCACCACCTCCCAGGAGTCCTTGACCCTCTGCCCCAGGTGCCAGGCCAGGTCTGCGTCCACCAAATGTCCTGTTCTTTTTCCTGCGTCCCACATCCTGAGCTCCTGTCCCAGGTTCCCTGGCCTGGCCCCAGGACAAGGCTCTGATGTCCTGCCAGGCCCTCCCAACACAAGGCCGTGGGGGCAGGGCTGTCCCACATGCCCCTCATCCTTGGCCTCTGTCACTCTGCCCCATCCCTGGCATCGGCCTCGGGCCCCCTCCAGGACAGCTGCTGGACGGCTCGCCGGCACCCCTTTGAAGCCAGGAGGGCTGGGCAGAAGCAGAGGCAGTCACACCCCAGAGTGTCGGAGCCTGGTCCACCCTTTCAAGTTTGCCGGACTTCAAGGGGACCGGCTTATCGTGCCCAGAGAGGATCAGAGGGAACACGGCTGGCTGGCGGGGCACCTGGGCTGCGCTCCCCTGGCACCCACCACCCAGACCCTGCACCCACCAAGGACACCGGGAGTCTCCTGAAACGGCCCAGCTTGGCCTGCTCTGGGGTCACTCTGCGGACACAGTGGATGCCCGTCCTCCACCTCCAGATTGGGTGCCCCCAGGGCAGGGCCCAGACCCCACCCCCAGAAGACCCCACAGAGCTGGGGACAGCAGCATCTATGTTCCTGGTGGTGGATCTTATAGAATTAGCAGCTGCCTACTGGCCCTTCTGCCTGTGGCCAAGGGCATTTTGGGGCCTGGCCTCAGGGTAAGTTTAGGGCAACCACAGAGAGGAAGAGAGCCCAGGACTCCGCCCCACAGAGCACGCAGGAGGCACGGCCCAGCCCTGGTGCCCCTCCCTGGTGTGCGTGGGCTCCTCCAGGTCCCTGGACTCCTCCCCTGCCCCGCCCACCACGCGGCCCCTCCTGCCACCCAGACCAGGCCGGGCACTGTCCCTCTGCCCTCACTTGGCCTGGGAGTCTTCCAGGAAGCTGGGGTGCCCACAGAGACAGAGGTGTGGGGTGGGGGGCTTGCAGTGGCAGAGCCGCAGCCCACAGGGTCCGCCTGTGAGAGTTCAGGGTGATAATGTCCCCTCAGGGTACGCAGCCTGCACACGGAGACAGGCCTTCTCCCCTCTGTCCGTCCCCCCACAGGAAGGACCAACTGCTGTCCCCTCAGGGGTGTAAGGAACGGAAGTCTGCCCTGGGGGTACAGGGAAGCCTGCATGCACCCCTGCAATGTGAGGACAGGAGCCAAGGTTGAGGGGCATCCCTGTGGGCACTGAAGTCACCCAGGGGTCATGGCAGCATGGAGCTGGAGACAGCCAGGGCCAGGAGAGATGTGGGGTGAGGTCACTGCTGGGGGCTGGGCTGAGGGAGGAGGGTAAGAGCAGGGAGGAGCGGAGTACCCCCGGCAGCATCTAAGGGAAGGGACAGCAGGAGGCCAAGGACATGGGGGCAGGGGCATGGTCGTCCAGGTGGCAGAATAGCCTTACAAAGACAGGATGGGCCTGTCTGAGCCCCTGAACAGCCCAGCACCCCAATGTGTCCAGAGTGACCAGCCCATCAGCGCCTGTCTTTCCTCAGGACCCTTGAAAAGGCTCCCAGGGGTGGGGAGCCCAGGCCCACTGGTGTGGCGAAAACAGGGACCCGGCCCTGCCAGGTGTCTTGCCCTTGAGAGACTCCCTCAGGGTTGAAGGGTTGAGGATGAGGACGGTCCCCATGGGAGCCCCAAGGTCTCCCCTCTGCTGGACAAAGGTCTCCCTGCTGCCCAAGGTGACCCCCCTATCCATCCCTCCCGACCTTAGACAAAAACCCAATCAGCTCCCGCCCCCGGTCTGCTGTCTGGGGAACGTTTGGGTCACCAGCTGTGGGCCCCCTACCGCCCCCCCCCCCACTGCAGCCAAGGCCTAGGCCTCCCACAGCTTCTGCCACAGGTGGCCTCCATGACCTGGAACCAAGATCATCCAAGCGGGGCCTCCCTCAGCGCTAGCCCCTCCTCAGGACAGGAGCGGGGTTCACCCTGGGGAAGCCATATGGGAAGATGTTAGGACAAGGGACTGCCCTGCACAGCAAGGGGGCCCCGTGCAGGAGGGGCAGGGGACTGGGCCCAGCCCTGGGAGGCTAGAGAGGAGGAGGGGACACCCCAGTGTGCGAGGGGCGAGGGAGAGACCTCGGCCCTGACCTTGGGGGCCCGGCAGTGCCTGGGAAGGATGGTGGATCTCCCAGCCGGCAAGGTCAGGCAGAGCCGGTCCTTGTTTGGAGAAGCCGGGACACCAGCAAGGCCTCGCCCTTCCCGCGGGACGGCCGAGGCTCTGGGGACGCGCGGTGCCTCCCGCGGTGGCTTTGCCAATCACACAAGTCCTCGCGCCTTCTCCCGAGCCCCAGAGGCAGAGGAAGCCCCGCCCTCGAGTGCTGGCCGAGCACGTCGGAGCCTGTGTCCCCACCTGGAGAGCTAGACCACTGCTTCACGACCCAGGGTGGTGGCTACACCCTTCAGATGGTGTCCTGCGGGCAGCAGGGGACAACGCAGCCCCGACCCTCCACAGCCACCCGGCCAAGCCCCCGGCGTGGGACGGGAGAGGCACTGAGGGCGAATGCCAGGAGGGAGCATTCGCTGGGCCAGGTGCTGGGGACTGAGGCTGGCCAGAGGCATGCGTGGGGCAGTGCTTCTGTCCAGGGGACTGAGAACAAGCTCTGGGGACCCTGGGTCCCAGGCCCAGTCCCAGGCCCAGACATGGGACTCTGAGAGCCACCTTTGTTCCTGGGCTGGAGCCCCAAACACAGGCCCCCATGGCCCCAACACACACACACATACTGATGCAGGTGCACACACGTGTACAGACATAAGCCCACACGCCACACACACACACACACATACCGATGCAGGTACACACACACACACACACAAAGTACAGACACAGACCCACACACACATGTGTACAGACACAAGCCCACATACACACACATGTACATAGGCCCACTCCCCCCCAACATACTGATGCAAGTATGCACACACACATGTATAGGCACAGGTCCCCATACAGGCCCACACACACATGTACAGAGGCAGGCCCACACACACACATGTACAGACACAGGTCCACACACATGTGTACAGACGCAGGCCCACACAGGTGTACACACAGGCAGAAACACTAGTTTAGAGAAAAAGAATGCACGTTTTCTTGTTTAACAAAATAAATTAAATATACGAAGCTTCAGCTCAAACTCTATATAAAATTACAGAGGTCTAGGGCCGCCTCAGGCAGTGGGGCAACGGGTGCCGGTCCCCGAGGTGGACACCCAGCATGGCCACAAGGCCAGGTGGGTCATGGGCCCCGGGAGAGGCCAGGTCCCTGTGGCCCCGCCCTCCTTTCATCATTAATATTATTATCTTAATTTCTTAAATATAAATATCAAGGCCCTTCTCTCCGGCAGTGGGAGGCTGGGGGAGCAAGTCACTCCCAGCCAGGCTCCAGCCTCAGGACAGAGCCTGGGACTGCTATGCCCAAGGCCCGGCCCAGGGTCCTCCTGGTGGACTCCTGGACACCCAGGACAGGTGGTGGCAAAAATAGCCGCCCACCTGCCAAGGCAGGGAGACAGGCGGGCAGGTGCAGGCAGGGGTGGGGAGTTTTTGGTTTGCTAAGCCAGGGTCCCTCTCAGATCTCCTGCCAGACTGGGGAGGTGACAGTGGCCCCCATGAAATCCTCCTCACAGGCCAAGGGCTTCCCTCACGAAGAGGCCCGGCGCTACCCGGCTGCAAGGTCACAGGCGCAGGCCCGAGGGTGGGGTGACTGTCTGGTAGGTCAGTGTGACTGCGTGTGGGCACGTCACGTATGTATGTGCGCCGGGGGTGCATATGCCTTGCAAGGACGCCCAAGCTGCTGGCAGAGCCCCTCACCTGTGTGTCCCCTCTGTGGCCTCTGCTCCCAGCCTCCCACCCCATGGTGTCTGGGCCCCCATCCACGGACCACCTAGCACTGGTAGTGAATATGCTGGTGTTGGTGGACCTTGCCCTCCACGTGTGAGTGCGTGTGCGAGTGTGTGTGCGTGTGTGTGTGCGTGTGCACGTCCGTGTAGAGTTTGGGATAGAGCTTGGGGCCAGCAGCTGAGCCCGGGCCCAGCAGGTGCTGGGGGGCTGCCGGGACCCCAAGCTCCTCACACAGCCCCACACCAGCTGCAGTGCCGAGGGCCGGTGACACCGGCAGGTCCTTGTCCCCACCACGGTCTCGCGCGGCCGGTGTGCGGTGTGCAGGCACAGGGGGGGGCGGCGTGGGTGTGCACGGCTTCTTCTTGGCCTGGCAGAGCCACAGGAGCACGGTGCCCAGGATGAACACGGCGCCGGCCGGGATGCCGATAACGACAGGCCACGGCAGGCTCGTGGCTGAGGATGACGGGGCCACCGGTGGCCCTGGAGGCTTCGGATCTTCAGGAGAGAACAAGGAAGAGGACGAGAAGGGTTAAGGGTGTCTGCGGCAGGACCTCCGGCGGGCGGGTGGGCAGGGCGGGGACGCGGGCAGGGCACCTGGCAGCACGGTGAGGAAGGCGCTGCGGAAGCTGTAGCCCATGGTGTTGGCGCCCAGGCAGATGTACATGCCCGCGTCCTCCTGCCGGGCACGGGTGATGAGCAGCTTGTTGAGGTAGGAGCCATCGGGCCGCGACCACACGTCGCCTGTGGGCAGCACCACGAACTTCTGGCCGCCCACGTCGATGGTGGAGTTGTAGCGGCCCTCGGCCCCGTACTCCACGCGCTTCAGCCACTGGATCACCGGCTTCACGTCGCTGCGCACTTTGCACTGGAACGACGTGGTGCCCCCGAAGTCCACGGTGGTGTTCACGGGGTGCGTGCCCGTGAGGACGGGCTTGGAGCGCGTCCGCTCTGTGCGGGGAAACGCAGGTGGGTGCCTCCCGCACCCCGCCCCGCGCCCCGGCCCCAGCCAGCGCCCCGGCCCCGCCCCGCACCCTGACTCCGCCCAGCGCCCGGACCTGCCCCACACCCCAGTTCCCGCCCAGTGTCTGACTCCGCCCAGCATCCTGGCCCCGCCCCGCCCCTGCCCAGTGTCTGACTCCGCCCAGTGCCCGGCCCCGCCCTGGTGTCTGACTCCGCCCAGCGCCCCGCCCCCGCCCCGTTGTCTGACTCCGCCCAGCGCCCCCGGCCCCGCCCCACCCTGGCCCCGCCCAGCGTCTGGCTCCGCCCAGCGTCCCGGCCCCGCCCAGCACTCACGGATCACGTCCACCTTGTAGGTGGCGTTGATGGCGCCTGCGCGGTTCGATACTCGGCAGGTGTACTTGCCGCTGTCCTCGGGGCGCAGGTTCTTCAGGCTCAGCGTCCACTTCTTCCTGTGCTCGCTGGCCTCCGGGCGTGTCAAGGCCTGGTCGTCCTTCATCCACATGATGTCAGGCCGCGGGTGCCCGCTGGCCACACACTTGAGACGCACAGAGCTGCCCACAGGCCGGGCGATCACCCGGCGCCTCATCTTGGACGGCTGCGTGAAGCGGGGCCGCGCTGCAGGGTGGGCGGCACAGGGGTCAGGGGGCGTGGACGGAGGGGCCCGCCTGCACCCGAAGAGGGCAGTGACGTAGCTGTGCTCACCCCACTGCTTGCTGGCTGGGTCCTCCTGGCCCCCGGAGGAGCCCTCGTGCCCCGGGCTCTCCCTGGCTGGGCTGGTGTCCTCTGCAGGGGGGAGGACACATGAGCGGGGCTCCCACAGCCCCCACCCGGCCCCAGGCTGGTTCCCAGGCCCGGGTCTGCCCAGCTGGGAAAGCTGCAGACAGGCCAGTGGAGGCCATGGGCCCACACCCTCATCTCAGAGTCCCCGGGACAGCTGGGCAGAGCCCGCCCAGCCCACTCCCAGGGTGCAGGTGACCCCAACAGGCGCGGGAGCGGGGAGGGACCTGAGCGCTGGCCCCCCACCCGGCTCCGGGGGGTCTGCAGGCTGGGGGAGGGGCTGGCCCGGCAGCAGCTGCAGTAACCCTAGCCCACATCAAGGGGCCGAGGGCTGGTGAAGCGACATGGCCCGCATACCACCCGGCCACCCGCCCCTCTGAGAGGACAGTGGGGGGCACCGCAGTGTTCCCATTCCACAGCCCACAGAAGGCCCCTGCAGGGGTGGGGCTTGCTGAGGAATGCCCCCTCCCCACGACAGCTTCCCCCAGCCCAGGACCAAGGCCAGGCGGTCTCGGCCCCACCCTGGGCCCAACAAGGAGGGAGCACGCCCCGGGGGTGCCCTGAGGGACCCACCTCGGGGATCTCTTCCCCAGTGACCCCACACCCAGAGTCCTCCCCGGGGACACATACAGCACGTGGGTGAGGCCAGTGCCCGCACCAGTGAGTGTAGGGTGTGTCATGGGGACCACGCCCAGCCCTCAAAGGCAAACGAGAACAGAAGGTCCTTGGCTTCCAGGCGGCCCCTCTGAACTCCGAAACCTGAGACTCAAAGGCATCGCCGACTCCAAGGCCACCAGCCTGCCTGGCACGCCCTTCAGCGGGACCACCGTCCTGGGCACCCATACCCACTCCTGCTGCCCCAGGCTGTCCCTGGCTCTGGGTCAGCAGGAGTTCTGGGGAGGAAGGGTCCCTGAGGTGTAGGCCTGAGAAGGGGCCCGGGCTGGGGGTGGTGACAGAGGTCGGGCCCTGTACTGGGCTGAGAGGAGGTGGCTGGACATCCTGAGGCCCAGCGCAGGCAGAGGGGTTGGGTAGGGGCCACAGGGAAGCCTGCCCGAGCACATGCCCCTGCCCCTGCCCGTGGCCCTTGCGGCTGCACTGACCCGTCACAATGAGGGTGTAGTTCACGCTGAGACTGCCGAAGCCGTTGGTGGCCTTGCACACATAGGCGCCAGCGTCCTCCCGCTCCACCTCCTTCACCCGCAGCCCCTGGGGCAGCACCCGGAACCGGCTCCAGCCGCCGTGGATCGTGCGGCCGTCCTTGGTCCACATGGTCAGTGGCGGTGGGTCCCCCTCCACGGGGCACTGCAGCCGCACGGTGCGGCCCAGCCGGGCCACCTGCCTCGGGGTCACCTTGTCTGCCATCCTCGGGGGGCCTGGGCAGGTCAGAGGCCTCGGTCAGGGAAGCGGGGAGGGGTCAGGAAAGTGGGGAGGGGCTGTCCCGGGGGTCCCCAACCAGGACTCCACCCCAACACGCCTGCCCAGTGCAGGCACAGGGCCCTCCTCCCAGACCGTGGCTGGCATCACCCGGGCCCACCGTGCCAGGCCCATATCTGCTGAGACCAAAACCGTCACAGAAGCAGGAACACGGCTGGCTGGGCAGGCACCCGGACGCCTGTCCACAGAGAGCAGGGGCCCCTCACTGGTCCCCGCAGGACACCCAAGTGTCTGCATGTACAGCACAGTCATGTGGTACCAGCATGGTCTCCCTACGCCTGACCCCATCTGCCTGGACCAGGGCCTCCCTACGGCCACCTAATCCCAGGCCCTGGGGTCGCAGGGTGAGAGGCTGGGTACGCTAGCCCCAAGCACAGGGTTCCTGCTGGACTAGCAGTCTGTGCCCACTGCCAACCAAGGGAGAATCCCATGTTCCAGGCTGAGGTCATGGCGCCCCTCCCACCCCCACCAGCTTAGGTCCAGCCTTGGGGCCTGAGTCAAGTGCAGGGCAGTGGGTGACCAGGACTGGAAAGGACTGAGTGGCCAGCTAGGAAGGGCACTGCAGGTGTCAGAAAGGACAGGAGCCATCTCCTAGCCTGTGGCTCCAAACCTGGGGTACTCTGCAACTCCTGTGTCCTAGATGACACAGGGTGCTGGATTCTTCAGCACAGCTGCCCTGCCCACTGTACCCCCAGACCCGAAGGGGCAGCCAAGGGCACCCAGCCACCCTTCCCAGGGGCTTGGCTGGCCCAGCTCCCAGGACCCCGCCCAGCATCCCATGCTACGGCCACTCCAGCGCCAAGGAGCCAGCGTCCCTCAGGCTGGCCTCACGGAGGTGCAGGAGGTGGTGGCTGCTCCCAGGCGCTGTCGACGGAGCCCGAGGGCGGCACGTGTTTTTAATAACCCACTAGTATTTCTTCAACATGCAATTACCAGCTGGTTATGTTGGGGCCTCTGCAACCAGGGCCCACGTGCTTCTGTGGGTCCGTCAGACACACGAGCTCTCTCATCACCCACGTCCCAGGGCCCGCACACAGCACTGAGCCCCTCGCTTCTGCCTGGGGGCTGAGGAAGGGGTGGGCGCCATGCCCCTTCAAATGGAGGATGCTGACAGCTCAGAGCCTGGGGTCTCTGGGTTCCCCGTGGAGGGACTCCTCCCAGCCCCACCTGCTCCCTCCCTGGGCCCACCCACTGCCAAGCCCACTCTGCCGAGATGCAAGCCGGCTCCCATCCTGTCTCTGCCCCGGTCCCTCCCCCCACCCTGTGGCTCCTAGACCGCACGGCAGCCCCCTGCCCCTTGCTCCCGGCCAGCCCTCTCCTCACCAGCTCCCAGCCCACTTGGAAAGGACGAGAAGAGCCGAGTGGCAGGGGTCTGAGACCCACCTCCCCCTAATCACTGAGCTGTCTGCAGAGCCCCCCGCCCCAGCACCTGCCCAGCTCACATGGGAGGGGTTCAGGGTCCACAGATAAGGTCCCAGACTTGTTCCCAGGCAGACCCTGTCCGCCACCTGTCAGGGCCTGAAATTCCACCATTCACAGGGGCCTCCGGCTGTAGGACAAAGAGGGCCCTCCTGCCAGCCTGCTCCAAGCCCTGGGCCTCCAGGGCTGCCACCTGGGCACACACAACTGTTCAAAGGTGCAGGGAAGGAGGACGGTGCCCATCCCGACACTGGGAGCATCACTGGGGCTGGGCCCCCCAAGGAGCCTACTCAGTGGCAGAGAAAGGACTGACCTGCCATGCTGGGGGTCACCTCAAGCCCTGTCCCACCCCAGGCAGGAGAGCTTGAGCAGAGGGGTGTCTACAGGGCGACGGTAGCTGATCCGGTAGCTGATCCGTGCAGATGGGGAGGTCAGGATGCCCCTCGTCACAGCAGACGGGGACAGAGCCAAGCGACCGCCAGACTGCCGGAAGTGTGGCCCCAGGGCAGCCCCGAGTGGTGCAGGGGGACAGGCAGGCTGGAGCCAGCCTTATCCTAAAGCAAACAGCCCCTCTTCCCCCTCCCCGGCGGCCAGCCGGCCCCGCCCAAGGCTGGACCCAAGGCCAGGCAAGGCCCCTGGGCAACCCCCACACCAGCCCAAGACCCCCGCAGGCTCACGGGAGGAAAGCCCCCCTCCACAGATTCCTGAGAATTTTGGCGGTCAGCATGCTGGCCATGACGGCTGCAGCTCTATATTTAGCCTGGGAAACAAGCCCCCATTGTGCCACCTGGACAGGGCGCCCACCCACCCAGCCCTGGGCAACTGAGGCAGGGGCTGAGGCCCGGGGTACCGGGTGTGTGAAGGACAGCTCCCAGGTAGGGCCCCTCCCCCAACCTCAGCCCCCCCTCTGAGCACCTCCTCCAGGACGCCCCCAACCCTGCACAAAGCCCCGCCACAGCCCCAGGCAGGTCCAGGCGCAGAAGTTCCATGGCTCCGTGGAAAGGGGCAGCCATGGGCGTAAGCAGAGCCTGGGTCAAGGTCTCGTCCTCAGTGAAGGCTGAACACTGAGGTGGGGGCAGGGAAGCAGTAGCTGCCCCCCTTCCTAGCTCCGTCCTCCTCTCCCAGCTGTGACAACAAGGCCAGGAGCAGGGGTGCCAGGAGGGGCCAGTGTGCAGCAGCCTGAGGCCCCATACCCGGCCTATACAACCAGGCTTCCAGCTGCCACCCAGAGCTCAGGTGTCGTCCGTCACACACAGATCCTGCCACATCGTCGCCCAGATGCTCTGCCCCAAGAGCCCCCGGGTGCACGCGCACATCCCCCAACGGTGGATACAGACTCCTCGCTGGGGAGGCCCCCAGGCCCAACCCTGTCACCCACCTGGCCAGGTTTAGTAAAACAAGATTCTGTAACCCCAGCGACACCCCTCTCGCTCTGGGGGACCCAGGCAGGGTGCTGAGATGGATGGAGGTGACAGTCGAGGGGGGGGGCGGGACCCCACTGCAGCCCACCTCACCCAGTCTCCCAGGCCCTGGCTCAGCACTACACAGCTCACTGACCCCAGGACTTCTGCTCGGCCACCCCACCTGGTGACCCCTCCCCTCCCCCCTCCAGGGCTCCCACACTCCTGTTGGGAGTGGCTGCGCACGCTGTCAGGGGCCTGGGAGTATCAGCCTCCCCTCACTGCCCAGGGCCGACCCGTGGACCAGGCACTGCCCTGCTCCAGGCCCAGCAGGGGTACCAGGTGCACTGGAATCTCAGGCCTCACCCCACACCCTCCCCCTAGTCGGCTACTCCCACCCCTTGTGGCTGCGACTCCAATGGGAGTAAGGGTGTCCAGGGGCCACTCATCAAGCCCTGCAAAGCCCAGGCCTGGAAAGAAGTCTCCTGCCAGGGTGGGTGGGCCACTCAGCAGGGACTAGCCACGGGGTGAAGACCCCACCAGGGGCCACTGACCTGCTGGGCCCCACCCCTCCTGGAGGAACTGGGACAGCATGGTAGGCTCTGGTCAGAGGGCAGAGAGGGAGGCAGGTCCAACCTGAACACCCTGCACCAGGTGGCACAGGTGGGCACTGTCTGGGAGGGCAGGGGGCCCATGTCCTCACCCCTCAGTGAGAGCGTTAGCACAGGGCTGAGCTGGGGAAGCCCACACACAGTGGTCCCCAGGGCCAGCCCCTCCCCAAGAAGGCAAGAAGGGGAAGGACGGGTGCCCACAGAGGGGGCACAGGGGACAACCACAGCAGGGCCTGGGAGAGGGGGCCAGGCTCCAGCCGGTCAGGTGCACATGCACACCCACCGACACCCATGCATGCACACACACGCACACACGCACACGTGTGCACACTCACATAAGCTCCACTCATCGGCTGGCCCAGGGCGGCCCCTCGGGGCTGGACCCACAGGATCCGTGGCGGAACTGGTAGGACCCGCAGGACAAGTGGTTGCCCCAGAAACCAGGCCATTCTGGGCGTGGCAAAGGGACAGCCTGACCCACCGAGCAGACAAGCTGGCTGGAGCGTCCAGTCCCCCCTACTGCCCAGCAGGGCACCAGGTGAGCAGCTAGGTCCCTTCCTTCCCGGGAAGTCCTCAGGTGGGTACCAGCAGAACCCTGGCCACAGGGATCCTCCTGCCATCCCGGGGCAGAGACTGTCACACTGATGGTGCCACTACCCTGGGTGAACCCCACATAAACTGCCAACAACTGACAGTGACCAAACCACCATCAGAGTTCCTGCCACAGGACCCGCCCAGGGGCTGCAGCAGGACACCCGGCAGCCTGCTCCATGTCCAGGCCCCCGGGCCCCAGGTGACCTCCACCCGGAGCTCACAAACATCGCTCCCCTAGAACTCAGGTCTCCCTCACAGCCTCCCCAGGCGCCCCACCCCCACCCTAGCTGTCAAGGATCCCAGAAAGGGATCCCTCAAATGCCGGCACTGGACCCTGACCACCTAAGTACCCAGGTCACTCTGGGAACGTGATAAGGACATTTCCTGGAACCCCTGGGACAGAGGTCGGGCTTCCGACAGAACTGATGCTCTGCCTACCGTGAGGGTTTGCACACTGGCCAGCCCGACCCACCCAGCAGCCTGGGCACTGGGCACCTCCAGACCAGAGAGCCCCGCACCCCACTCATGCTCCTGCACCATGGCCCACGGCCCACAACAGGCTCCTCAAGACCAGGTCTGAGGCTGTGGCTCCAGCCCTCAAGGGGAACACGGCATGTCAAGCTGACAAAACCCCAGTCCCCGCCGGGAGCAGGGCAGGCCGCAGCAGGGTCTGAGACAGGCCAAAGCCCCTGGCCCTGGCCCGGGGCACACTGCAGGCGGCCCTGCTGGGCTCAGCTCTGCGGTGCGGAGGGGTCACCGCCCTGTGCTCACTTCTCAGCCTCTCGGCAGCGCTCAGCCCGAGAACCTCACGAAATAGCTCTCCCAGCAGGAAGAAAATCAATTGTTTCCTTCCAGGATGGGAAGCCGGGGGTTCAGCAGCCCTGACGCTGGAGCACCCTCCCTGC